AACCGTTCAGGAAGAAACCATGTCAACCCCTGTCCACATATTCAATCAACAAATAAGATAACAAGTTGTGTACAAATGCTCATATACAACAATGTTTCAACAATGTCCTTCATAGATTTGTTTCGGCAGACAATAACAATCTAACACGGTCACTACACAGATTCTGACATGCTCTGACATGCTGACACAAATTTGAAAAAAAAATTACACACTTCAACATAATCATATATGTAGGTGTCGTGTGTCAGTGTGAGACAGACACCAGAGATGACTTCGAATAAAACTATCATGTTACATAATCATAAAACTGGTTATTTAATTTGTTTTAAGATTGCATTTATCAGTGAAGCAAGAACCCAAACTTTTGAAGGATTATACGAATCTTTAGGGAGAATTTTTTTTTATATAAGCTTGCTAAGGAAAGAGACAGAAAAACAAAAAATTTGAATCAAAGTGAAGTGTGTTAAAGATGAAGAAGGCGAAGTTTTAGTTCATGAAAAAGATATAAAGGATAGGTGGAAGAAGTATTTCTACAATTTATTTAATGAAGGATATGATATCTCACCGGACTCTAACAAGCTCGACATTAAGGAAGAGGATCAAAATTATAACTACGACAGCCGAATTCAGAAACAAGTGGTAAAAGAAGCGTTGAAAAGGATGAATAATGGTAAGGTGGTTGGACCTCAGAACATACCTATTGAAGTGTGGAAAATTCTTAGAGATAGATGCATTGGGTGGCTCACCAAACTCTAACGAAATTATGAGGTCAAAGCAAATGTCAGATGATTGGAGAAGAAACACTTTATTTCCAATCAATAAGAATTGGATCGAACGGAGTCATACTATGAAGTTATGGAAAAGAAAAAAAAGAGTCGAATAAGGATTTAAATGAAAGGTTGGAGACGAGCTTTAAAAACGCATGACTTTCACCAAAGCAGAAATAAGATGGAGTATATGGAATGTAAGTGCAATAAAAGGAAAAGTGTTTCTAACATAGAGGTCAAAGTTGGAGATCATATCATCCAACAACTCACGCGATTTAAATATCTTGAGTCTGTAATACAAAACGATGGAGAAATAAAATGGAGTGTAAACCATTGAACTCAAACTGGGTGGGTGGCTGAAATAGAGGAAGGCTTTAGGGATTTTATGAGACACGAAGGTATTGTTAGAGTCGAAAGGAAATTTTTTATCGGATCGCGGTAAGACCTACAATGTTGTATGGAACAAAATGTTGAATTGTTAAGAATCAATACGAAAATAAGATAAATGGAGCAGAGATGAGGATGTTGTATTGGATGTGTGGTAGGACCAGACAAAATAAAATTCGAAATAACAATGTTAGTGAGAGTGTTATGGTAACACCTATAGTAAAAAAGATGGTGGAAAATAGATTTAGGTAGTTTGAGCATGTAGAGAAAAGACCTATAAATTCTATGATAAGGAGAGTAGATCAGATAGAGGGGAGTCAAAGAGTTAGAGATAGAGGAAAACTTAGAAAAACTATAATAGAAGTTACTAAGAAAGATCTTGAAATTAAGGATTTAGATAGAAGTATGATCATTGATAGAACATAATGGTAGTAGTTAATCCATGTAGCCGATTCAACTTTGTGGAATAAGGCTTAATTATAGTTGTTGTTTGCATTTTCAGTGCTATCTTATGAACATTTTTACCGATTAACTCCAATTTGTATGATTTTATGAAGGAAATACCGATATTTCCATTTTCAGCAAAAGAATCATAACATAGCACTTAATGCAAGAATAACCAAAACTAAATCCATAACAGAATCACCATTTTCCTCTAGTTTTTGGATTACCCTTCGCCAGTCATAGAAATTGCAACAAGTACTTATTAACAAGCTACATAGCACGAACACCAATACGATACCGAAACACGTGAATACATTCAATCACTTCTAGTTATCTTAAATTCTTACTTGTATCTATCTACATGTCATTGTAATTGATAACAACACAAAAGCATAACCATTCTAAACAATTCACTATGCATATGAAACAGATTCTAAGAATAACATCGTAAAAGAGTTAATCGAAAACAGAAACTTACATTGGCCAAAGATTCTAAAGAGTGCACGTACTCTTTGTTCTGTCTCACCCATCTCTTATAACCTTCCATAGGTTCAAAAACTCTGAAAAAACTACAAAAACAAAAAATTCATATACTGAGAAATAAAATCACTCTCGAATTCAAACTCAGAAGGTTCTGGAACATCTTCTGTCTGGATGATGATCTGAATACCTGAAAACAGTAAGAAAGCAGAGGCTTCATGTTAATAAACACAACCTAAAATTAACCTTTTTTTTTCAACATCAATAGAAAAAAGCAGAAAATTTCACGAATACAAATTAATAAACCATACCATAGTTTTGAGGTAATTCATATTTCATCGCGCTTAACGACACCATCCTCAAAGAGCTTTTTCAATGCAGAACCAATCTATATAAAGTCGAGAAAATAACAAAATAGTCAATTACCTTGCAGTTAAGCAATTGTTCTAATTTTCTTCACAATTCACATTATAATATTATAATAGAGAAAAGACACTCAGGTTAAATGAAAACAATTGAAAATTTATCGAAAAAAAGCTTCAGGCACCGGCATAACTTCACCATCAATCTTTGAGGCAAATCACGAAGACCTCTTCTCCTTGGAGTCTAACTAGAGAAGGAGGAGGATAGTACCGAAGCCAATCCTCGTCGGCGGGAGGATCTTCGACTCTAACCCTAACTTTCTCTCTATTTTCTGCACCGGGAGAATCCGAATCCAAATCAGAACTCGAGTTGAAGCAAGAGCGTTTGTGGCTGATGGATTGGGGTTCGGAAGGAGAAGTGAGGTGTGGTGGTGATTGTGTCGCATACGTATGGAGTAAAGAAAACAGATGTGAATCAGTACCTATTTTTTATTAGTTTTCAATTGAAAATTGGGGTTGAATAGGGAAGAGATGAAGAATTAGGGTTTTTAGTTGTTTGAAGAGAAATAGGAGAAAGGATGAGAATCAAAGGGTTTGCATTGAGAAGAGGAATAAGCAAAAATTAATTTCTTGAAAATAAATAAAATAACATTGTTTATTTGATCTTCTCTAAATGTTTAACTTATTTATCGAGAAAAAAAGGAATGGGAATCAAGATTGTTTTGTTTGTTTTCAAGGTCCATTAAATAAATTAATTCAAAATTAAATAAAAAATAATACAAATACATTATAAAAAAGTTTTCTTTTATAGTAAAATTATAAATAGAAAAATATAGGAGAGAGTGTCAAATGACAAACTTAACAAAATAGTCATCTTTATTATTATATTGTATAGATTGGGAGAGCTCTACCCATTTGCACAACATAGGTATTTTCAACACCTATAATTTATATCAAATAATTTATATCAAAGTAAACATCTCAAATCACTCTTTCCCAAAATCAATTTTAAGCCATCTATATCAATTAATCAAAATCCACAAATCAACGGTTAGAAATAGATCCTCGTTTTCTGATATCGAAATCCATCTTCAATTCACGCATCTTCATCACCTGGATCGGTTCCAGAACCTTCTGAGTTTGAATTCGAGAGTGATTTTGTTTCTCAGTATATGAATTTTTTGTTTTTGTAGTTTTTTTGGAGTTTTTGAAGTTATGGAAGGTTATAAGAGATGGGTGAGACAGAATAAAGAGTACGTGCACTCTTTAGAATCTTTGGCCAATGTAAGTTTCTGTTTTCGATTAACTCTTTTACGATGTTATTCTTAGAATTTGTTTCATATGCACAATGAATTGTTTAGAATGATTATGCTTTTGTGTTGTTCTTCGTTGATCTGGTACATGTGCATATACACAAAAGCATAATCATTCTAAACAATTCACTGTGCATATGAAACAGATTCTAAGAATAACATCGTAAAAGAGTTAATCGAAAACAGAAACTTACATTGGCCAAAGATTCTAAAGAGTGCACGTACTCTTTGTTCTGTCTCACCCATCTCTTATAACCTTCCATAGCTTCAAAAACTCCGAAAAAACTACAAAAACAAAAAATTCATATACTGAGAAATAAAATCACTCTCAAATTCAAACTCAGAAGGTTCTGGAACCGATCCAGGTGACGAAGATGCGTGAATTGAAGATGGGTTTCGATATCAGAAAAACACGGAACCGAAAAAACGAAAACCTAAACGAGATCTATTTCTAACCGTTGATTTGTGGATTTTGATTAATTGATCTAGATGGCTTAAAATTGATTTGGGGAAAGAGTGATTTGAGATGTTTAATCCGATATAAACTATAGGTGTTGAAATTACCTATGTTGTGTAAATGGGTAGAGCTCTTCCAATTTTCGATTGAAAACTAATAAAAAATAGGTACCGATTCACATCTATTTTCCTTACTCCATACGTATGCGATACAATCACCACCACATCTCACTTATCCTTCTGAACCCCAATCCATCAGCCACAAACGCTCTTGCTTCAACTCGAGTTTTGATTTGGATTCGGATTCGGATTCTCCCGGTGCAGAAAAGGGAGAGAAAGTTAGGGCTCCTTCTCTAGTTAGAGCCTCCTCCTTCTCTAGTTAGAGCTGGAGAAGTGAGATTCTCCCAGGAGAGAGGTCTTCGTGATTTGCCTCAAAGATTGATGGTGAGGTTATACCGGTGTCTGAAGTCGCAGCTTTTTTTCGATAAATTTTTAATTGTTTTCATTTAACCTGAATGTCTTTTCTCTATTATAATATTATAATGTGAATTGTGAAGAAAATTAGAACAATTGCTTAACTGCAAGGTAATTGACTATTTTATTGTTTTCTTGACTTTATATAGATTGGTTCTGCACTAAAAAAGCTCTTTGAGGATGGTGTCGTTAAGCGCGATGAAATATGAATTACCTCAAAACTATGGTATGGTTTATTAATTTGTATTTGTGAAATTTTCTGTTTTTTTCTATTGATGTTGGAAAAAAAAGGTTAATTTTAGGTTGTGTTTATTAAAATGAAGCCTCTGCTTTCTTACTGTTTTCAGGTATTCAGATCATCATCTAGAAGATGTACCAAATGCATTAGAAATATGCACATGAAAAGAAGACTGGGCATGACGAGATCTATTTCTCTCTGTTTTGTAACTTTTCATTTACTGTTCAAAAGTTTAAGCTATTATGTTGTGATTTTTTATTTCCTTTTACACAACTAAGAAACATCTTTTATGACTTTATAATGTTTAACTTTTTTTGGTTTTCATTCTGTCTTTTTGTAGGTTTCACTCGATGATGAGCATCTAGGGATGAAATGAAAAGTTTGGATAAAGTGGATTTGTGTGGTTTGTACTTACGTATGCACACGGGAAGCTTGTTGATTTTTTTTGTTGCAAATCTATGCTCATGTACTATAATGTATGTTGTTGATTTTATATAGTTTTTGTATCACTATTAAAGTATGGTTTCATGTTGTTGATTTAGAATTCTTTTGTTGAGATTTGATGTCATATTTCCATACAGGATTAAATTACAATAAATTACAATAATTATTTGTTCTTACACTAATTAGAGTTATGCTTATTGTTTCCAGTTTAAGGATCATGGCCTATACCGGCCTACGTGAATGCATTGCTTAATCATGTCTTAGCTCTTATGGGGAATAAAAGTAGGGATGGCAACGGGTCGGGTCGGGTGCGGGTTTCACACTACCCACACCCGCACCCGAAATCATCACCCGAACCCGAACCCGAAGGCTATTCGGGTGACAAAATCACAGCCGCGCCCGCACCCGTTGGGTTCGGGTTTTTTCACCCAAACTCGAATCCGAAGGGTATTCGGGTGACAAAATCACACCCGCGCCCGCATCCGTTGGGTTCGGGTTTTTTCACCCAAACCCAAACCCGCACCAAAAATCAAAAAAAAAATTACAATTAAAATAAGGTCTCTTTACATTGTCTTCAAGAAAATGCAATCACAATTATCTTAACATAGTCTCCAACATAAATGATTTAAATAAGAATATTACCATTTGAATGATTTTTTACATTTGCATCAGCTTAAAATTGTGTTTCGTCATTGAGATTTTATTTTACTCTAATTTTTATTAAGATTCTTTAATACCTACTAATATATGCTCCTTTTAAATCACGTCTCTATATTATGACGTAATATATTGAACACACTATTCTATCACGGAAGTAATCTTAATTAATCTTAAGGCATAGAGACCTACACCAATCTTACTAATATTGCCATAGCTAAAATATAAAATATTAATGACGTTGTAGTTTTCCAAATCTTCTTAAAATCAACAAGAAATCTGAGGTTATTAAATCTAATTAAAAGATAAGAGAAATATAAATTGAAGTGTTTAAAAATGATAAATATGTAGCTTTATTATGATATTAAAATAAAATTATAGGTTTTAAAGTAAGATAAAAATTAATAGGTTTGGTACTAAGAAGTGATGTATCTGAATTGAATGTCATGGTAATACCTCCAAAACTAAGAGGGAACAATGCAATCTATTTAATACTATTTATTGTCTTACTATAATCTTAGAGTATAAAAATCATGAATTTAAGGTTCATGAAATTAGAAAAAGATTTCTCAACTAATTGGTAGTTCAAAGAATAGTCTATCATAAGGTATGTTACACAATTTTGTTCTTCTCACACTAACTTATTCTCTTTGTGTAATGGGTAATCTCACAAGTCTCTTTTAACCCATTTACATCTTTCATTAATGCACTTACAAATATAGTATGCGTTCCACACTTGAAGACAATCGGAATCAATTTCACAATATGGCTCATAATAATATGTTAAGAAAATAAATGATAATACAGATTTACTAAAATACAATAAAATATTGTGTGTGAACTACCATGTAAAAAACCAGCTATTGGGATGTTAACTAATGGCTGGTATAACAGACTGTATACAGTAACAGGACAGGTACTGTTAGATATATTACAATGTCTGTGTGTGTGTTTGGTGTTACAATGTCTGAAGAACTTTAATAACATAAACTCCATTCTATTCTATCTCAACCAATTAGTCATATAACGAATTTAATATGTCAAATATACCATGCAAAGCAACATTAAAAGATCTGTACATTCATGCATAAGATAGATATAAAGAGATTCTTCATAAACCTTACCGAAATGTCACTTGTTGGAGTATCAGGCTGGCAGGCTGCTCCTGAAACACAATCAACAGTTCTGTCGGCCTAAATATTAGAAATGGTGTTAGAAAGTGGCCTAAGAGTTATATACATAGTTTATATATTGCTTGTAAATGATGCTAGAAGGAGGCGTAAGAGTTATCATAGTTCATGCATTGCTTGTAAATGGTTCTAGAAGGAGGCCTAACATTTATCATAATTGATGCATTGCTGTGAGTTGAGCTTTGAGTAATTTATTAGCATCGAATAGGTGCTTTGTAAGGACAAAATTGTAAGACTCACATAGCACTCCAAATTGATTAGTCCCTTCTAAGAAATCTCAAATAACAGTAGCAAGTAAAATAGATGAAAAGCAACAAAGTACTAGTAGTACATAAAACATATTCTCATTCTAATAATAATAACTTGAAATACAAGTCTCTGAATTTTCATCATCAATGCAAAGGACATATTAGCTAGCTAATAGCTAACCCCACAGACACTCCCTCTCTCTCTCTCTCTCTACCTTTAGAGATAGAAAGAAAAAAAAAACACAATTCCTTCTATGAATTTAATTCCTTCTATGAATTTTGATTGTGACCCCTTCCATGGAAAAGTCAAGTTTCCTGTGATAAACTATTCCCCAAAAGACTAGGTATGTAGGATTTCACCTACCTAAAACATTGGGTAGATATATAAATAATGATTGGTTTATAGCAAGAGTATGAGAACAAGTTCAATACAAAAGATGTTAATATTACTGGTTTATTATGGTTTCTTGTTTCTGAATTATGTTAATAGAAATGTTGTCGCTATTGAATGCTTAGCTTCTGATCAAGAAGCTCTTCTAGACTTCAAAAATGGGCTTCAGTATTCTCACAACCGCCTTTCTTCATGGAGAAACACCAACTGTTGTCAATGGCAAGGAATACGCTGTGACAACGTCACAGGTGCTGTCAATGCAGTCGAAGGCATTTGCAATATCTGATGCATTTGATAATATCTGAACCTGTCAAAGGCTGGCTTTGCTGGCTTTGCTACCAAACTTGCAGTATTTGAATTTAGGGAACAATGAAAATCTCAAAGCAAGCTGTTCTCAACTCTTGATGAAAGGATGGGAAAGGATACAAGTACTTGATTTATCGATTAATAAATTACACGGGAGACTTCCTTCATCCATTGGAAACTTGACCTATCTTACTTACTTGGATCTTCATGATAATGCTATTGAGGGTGGTATTCCTAGTTCCATTGGTCAACTCTGCAACTTGAATATTATCGATTTATCAAGAAGCAAGATGACAGGAACTCTCAACTCTACCTGAATTTCTTCTAGGAATACAAAATTGTCCTTCCAGAAAACCTCTTCCTAATCTTGTGTATTTTATCAATGACTACTCAAGCTTTATAAGTACTAATAGTATGTTTGGTAACTCATTTCATTTGGACAATGTTTCTCGCGTTCCAAGTCACAGAAAACCTGAAAATATATAAGCTCCAATTTGGAGCTTTGGCCAAACGTATTGGACGCGGAAACAAACACACGCTAAGTAAATCATATTTCTAGTAGATGTGGCCATGCAAGACTCTAAGACACCTCCTAACACTCAGAAACCCCTCTAGACTATTGGAAAAATTGCAGAAGATTTCTACGCATAGAGCTAACGGAGAACCAAAACACAGCAGAAACATAGAATACAGTAACAGCAGGCAATTGTTAATCAACAGATTCCGTTTTCATCAATCAGTCACAGGATCAAACAAAAAGTGTTGAACGTATGAACATTCACACAAATGATAATAGAATTTCAATTTCGAAAAAGTAGAAGTTGCAATTCTACCTGAGGAAGCAGGACCGAAGAGAGGGAGAGTACGAAGTCCGGTGAATGGAGGAAGTAGGGGTTTGGATTTGACTTTGGAAATCCGGAGTTTTGGCGGAGAAGGAGGAGGAAATGCGGTGAAGCGGACTAATGAAGCTGAAGGAGAAGTAATAGAAGGTAAGGCGGAGCGGAGAAAGGACGTGTTCCAGCGGCTGGTGGTAGGTAGCAGGGAGATTGAGTGGCTAGCTGGAGATTGAGAGTCGCGAGGAGGATGAAGGAGAAATTTTGTTCTGGTTTTTTTTTCTCTCAAGATGTGATATAAACCCTACATTTTATTTTTAATTATTGAAATATATATATATTTAGGGATAGTTTTGTAATTTAATATATAAGCGGGTGTGGTTTCGGGTTTCGGGTGCGGGTTTAAGCTATCCCAAACCCACACCCGAAATATCGGGTGGCACCCGAACCCGAACCTAAACCCAGTCAATTCGGGTTTCACCCGTTGACTCGGGTGCGGGTGCGGGTGGGGCCCGCGGGTTTGGGTCTGCTTGCCATCCCTAATTTCATTATGGTAAACTGAAGCTTTGTGGTACACATACACACGTAGATACAGATGATATCATCTGACAAAGAATTCTCACTTGAGATGTTTAGAAAACCAGTCCAGCAAGTCCTGATGTGCCTCCTCTGCAGCCTTCACTTCTTCTGCATCCTCCGGTTTGTATCTCACAGTCCAACCATGTGAAACTTTAGGAAATATTTTCACAAAACTTGTCTGCACAACAAAAATAGGGACACGAGTCACTGGTGTTTAAAAAGGTGAAGAAGCTAAGTAAAACAATTTGACTAATGATATATTCTAGTAACTATCAATATGTGTGTGTGCATGTGCATACGTTTGAACCGAATATATAAGATTAGAATATCAAAGGATGGCCGATAACAACAAATGAAAGAAAAACGAATCTGACCACAGAATTAGCAGCAAGGATTTCTTCAAACTGTTTCACAAGCTCTGGAGGCGAAGTTCTGTCAATCTCAGCTCCAAGTATAGAAATTGGAATGTCAACACCTGAATTAAGAGCAATAAGAACTGTTAGAATATGAACATCTCAGTTGTTAAGAAATCTGCAGGGAAGAAGCTCCAAATAAAATAGAACCTTTGCGTAATCAATTAATACTGAGATAAGTTCAATGAACTGTAACAAACGAAGCAAAGACAATGGAAACTGGGAAGAGAAAGAAAACGTCAAACCTAAACTACCCGTGCAGCATGTAATTAGCCTCTAGAAGTGACAGTAGGTCTATTACTTGAAAACATACAAGCATGATGTATGCTTAAATTGATGGTAATCACAAATTATAAACTTATTTTTTTAAAAGAAGCCACAACATAGATTTAGTAGTTTCTTTTGGCAGAAGATTTTAAAGTCATTCTCTAAGCAGAAAATGCAAATTACGAATACAAAATTCAAAGATTAAAAATTCTTACCCTTTATGTCATCCAGAGAGACAAGTGACGGATGCAATAGCACAACAACTTCAATAAGTTTGGCTTTTGCGAGTTCAGTAACAACCTTAGCTGAGAAAAGGGAGTAAATATATTACATTGTGTGAGTTCAATTTTAGCATAGTTGCATTTCAAACATTAACCTGGCCGATAAGTAAACCCATCAGATCAGAAGCTGAAACCTCTTCATAGAAAAGGAGAGGGGATGCATATGAAATAAGTAGAGTGAGTGGCACTCACCACCCCAACAAAATCCAGCAGCCGCGACAGATGAAACACCTTTACTTTTTATGATTTCAACAATGAGTTTTGCATCTTCAAAACCTTTGTCCTATTAATATAATAATAATAATAGGCATGCATCAGAGAATAACGATTTGTACATTTAATTTGAGACTAATTGTAATGTTCAATCAACAATTCAAAACTGCCAATAAAGGTGAGAGGAAGCGATAAAGAAATTACATTAACAAGGCATCTGAATTTTGTCATGCACCTTCCAAAATCAAAATCCAATAAGAAAACAAAACTGGGATTTCAATTTACTAGAGAAACAAAGTCTGTTTCATTTTTACTTATCAAAGAAAAAAAATCATGAACAACCAAGGATCGTTAGAACTAACCGTTCCGTGATCTTTTATCCAAATAGGCCAGGGCTTATTAGGGTTCTCAGGATTGAAGGGTTCACCATTAAGGAAGTCTGGAACAACCACGTAATAACCCGCAGCTGCAACTTTGTCTGCAAGCTTCCTTCATAGCAGAGAACAAACAAGATTACTCAACAGTTGTTTACATTGCAATGGCCACAATAAAGGGATAAAGAGCGCATAATAATTATATAACAAATGCATTGCCCGTTAAAAATCTAGTCAAATCTAACATTATGTACAGGAGCAGCACTATTTTCGTGAAATATTACTCTAAATTACACTTATACTATATAGGTCCCTTCTAGTTTGCATATAGATTATCATTTGGTAATTTACATGCGGAAATTGAAATTGATATATGCTATCTAAAGAACACGAGGAAAAAATCTATTTTAAAAAACAATTTTACAAAATCTATTTTTGTAAAGCTAAAACAAACAGGCCCTAACATCCTTCACAAATTCTCATTGATTAGATACATGTAATAGACATGAGAATGAGCCATACCTAAAATTAGGCGCTTCATATCCTGCAAGAAAAATAAAGCATATGCAGTTAGTACAAGTTTTTGGTCAAAATAATTTCATCATGAATTTCATAATTTGACTAAAAGTGAGTCAAAAGATACAACAAAAAACTCTAGAATCAAAACTCCAAAATTAAACTTCAAATTATAATCAATTATAAAGTCGACAGAATCAAACACGTGTCAAGATGAATTTTACAGTATAGTATTGAAAAATGGAAAGGATTTCCTCCAGCTATTTGAGAGTTGCAGAGGAAGAGATGGTACCAAAAACATCGGAGACGAGAAGAACGGCGGAGTTGGAATTCGGAGAACCGGCGATGTAAGCATTGAGAGCACCGATCTTGTCAACGTGACCAGATCCTGCAATTGGATTCAGTGATGGTGGATTTGAGCAACACTCTGGCCCTGACATGCTTACTTTCTTGCTAGAACGATTCCAGGAGCTAGATTGTGTATTCTCTCACAAAGAAACCTCTCGACTATTTCTCAATTTCAAACCGATTCAAGATTCTATTCACAACTTCTGGTTTCTCTCTTGTCCTGTTTATAAATAAATAAATAATTCATTTATTTAAATATTAAATAAATAATATATTTGGATAGAATTTTATCTAAATATATTATTTATTTAATATATTTAAAAAATGAATTTTTTTTTTATAAATAAAGTCGAAGATAGTTCGTATAAAAAAGTTATATTTTTGAAATTTTCAATTTTATCCTTCTATTTTCCTACATTGTCTGGTGGATCGTTTTATAAAAAAAAATTTAAACAGTTTGTTGATATTATCTATTACTTCTTCTATTTAATAAAATATTATTTTTGTTCTGAACTGACTCGAAAGTCAGAGTGGATCCAGTCTAACCCCTTCTTTCGGCATGACCCATACGTCCATGGCCCGAATCTCTTCTATTTTCTGTCGGGTAATATCAACTCTTTGTTCTTCTGGACCGGCACTAATCCATGATGATTGACGAGCACCTCTCAGTCTATCTGACTTTAAGTCCCGCAGATAACCAAGAATCGAACAGATCGTTGTCTGTGACCTACCTCCTCTTTGGATCTAACGGCTAGTTATGGGCACACCTGCCCGGTATGATCAAGTCCTGGCAGTTACCTATTTTTGCATACCCGCGTATCCAAGCCCAAAAACAAGAACCAGTGATCATGCACCAGAGGCATTATATAAACCCTCACACATGTAACGGTCAGGTATCGAATATTCACTATTCACCACTAATACCCTAATACTTTGCTTGTATCTCTTTGCTCACATCGACATCCGAAGTCGGAAGCTTCGCTCGAAGCGATCATCCAAGGCAGGGATGAATCTCTCTGGGCGTACATCGAGTGCTTCAACAAGTAAGCAGTACAGGTCTCTACGACTGATAACATAAAGAAATACCTCCTTGAGCGTGGGCTCCGTCCCTGCGGAAACTTCGCCAAGGAGATAGGTATTAAGACACCAGCAACGCTCGACTCCCTCTTGCTCAAAGCTCAAGCGTACATATAGTACGAGGAGAAAAAAACCGCCAACAACGCCTGGGAATCATGGCACAGAGAGAGTGACAAACCCCCGAGAAATGATGAACTCTCGACTTCTCGTCGAGAAGAGAAAAAATGAGAAGGAAAATCCTGGGACCCCAAGGACTACAAAGGACCCGTCGTGCGGTTCCACGACTACACCCCTCTAACTACTTCGAGGGAATGTATTCTATCTGAATGCGCAAATTCTGAATTCAAACAGGCCGGAATGCGCTTTCCCCGACAAACTCCCTCGAAACCAGGAATCGACAAAAGTAAATACTACAGATTCCACAAAAGCCATTGGCACAATATTGAAGATTGCATCCATCTCAAGGATGCAATCAAAATATTGATTCGAGACGGGCGCCTCAAACAATACAAGAAGAAAGAGGTCGTCCGTGAAGAGGCTCATAAGCTAAAAATATTGAAGAGGGAAAGGAGTCCACCGACATTAACGCCATTTCAGTTGCCATAAGCATCACGCGGCCATAAGACTTCTACCTCCTAAACATGGAGTGTGTTCCTTTATACTTCTTCTCCCATAGTCCCTGAGAGTCATTCCCCGCCGCTATGGTCATCTCCAGCGGGGGATTTAATAGGTACATGGTGGGATATGTCAAAAGGATATTCTACCTACTGATCAAGGCCAACTCCGACATGGACGCCATGCTAGACAAATTCTGAGGAGGTTCTCACTCCCTCGCCTTCTACAGGGAAGAACTACCGAGAGGGGCCTCTGACTCGACCATCCTGCTGCTCATAAGGACCCGCATGGAGAATTTCGACGTGTAGTGTATCTTGGTCGATCAGGGAAGCTCGATAGACATTATGTACTCCCAGTTGTTCACCACTCTGTAGTTGAATGAGAGCCATCTGATCCCGTATGTTGGATCAGATCTCTAGGGCTTCAATAGGGCCAGTATAAAACCTTGGGGATATGTCGAGCTAATCGTCACCTTCGAGAGATGAGTGACAGCCAGAGCCATCAAGACCAAATTTTTTATAATAGACTGCCTATCTCTTTACCAGTGCATCTTTGGGAGACCAACTCTCGTTGAGCTGATTGTAGTGCCCTTCATCGTGCACCTCAATATGAAGTACTACGATGTTGACGGTTTGGTCGCCACCCTCCACGGGGATATCCAAGCGGCAAGGAGATGTTTTGAAGCCTCAACCAGAGGTATCAGTTCCATCAATATTCATTCTCGAATAACAGTGTTGTACCCCAAAATTTGCCCTCTCAATTCTCAAGGCCTTTCTTACAAGGATTCTCAAGGTTCAAGCTTGCACAAGTACTTTG